AATTATCATGTAAGAATTACATTTACAATGTCCACTCCTTTGGTATTTGACATATTAGGTGAAATACTTCATTATTTATTCTATCTTGATGAGTCCAAAGTTCTGTACCTAATTTATCTTTTATCATAACTAAAGAAAATTGCAACTATAACTATCTAGTCTTCAACTCCATCAAAGACCCCAGAAGGATATGATATTACCTGAGTAAACAGGAAGTACAGTGCAAGCTACTTCCAACCCTATAGAAATGACAAACATCTGGCTGCTTAGGCTCCCCAAGGTTCCTCTTCAAATTTGGGACATCCATCTTTAGCCTACAGGTCTAGAATATCTGACAGATTTTTCAGTGAATTTTGAGGACTGTCTCAACTTATCTTGGCAAAGTCCAACAGTCTTCTTTCTTTGTGTTCTGCTTGTCCAGTTTGTACAGCACACTGTCAGCAATCAATACAAGAACAGTTTCTTGCCAAAATGGCTAGTTTTGTCACATTGAAAGCAAACTCTACATAAAGTTTTATTTATTTATTATTTTTAGTTCAAAGTTTGTCTTTCAGACATTTATTTATTTGTGTATGAGTTTATTTATAGACAGGGTCTCCTGTAGTTTAGGCTAGCCTTGAACTTAGTGTGTAGTTGAGGCTGACCTTGAACTCCTGCACTTTTTGTCTCCAAGTCCCAAGTGCTGAGATTACAGGTCTGTCCTGCTTAACCGGCTTTGAACTGTTTTCCAATGAGTACCCTGTTTCTTTGGTCCCAGCATTAGTTACTTTCCTGTGTTGTGATAAAGTACACCTACAAAAATAACTCCAGGAAGAAAGGGTTTCTTTTGGTTTATAATTCTGGAGGACGCACATCATGGTGGGGGTGGGAAGAGGTAGGGAAGCTGCTGGTGACATTGTATCTGAAGTCAGGAAGCAGAGCGAGGATGAATGCTTGAGCTCCTCTCTGTCTCTCTCTCTTTTTCTCTCCAATACTGGGGATTGAACCCAAGGACTCGCACTTGATAAGGAAACACTGCACTACTTAGCTACACCATGGAGTTTTTCAATGCCCATCATCTTCTCCGAAGTGAATTGATGCTGCCAGGAGCAGATGAGTCTCAATGTCATGAAAAAACGCTATGTTATTAAAACATTTTAAATGCCATATTCTGCAGATCTTTGAAGTGTTTGAAGACTATCTATCTAAAATATATTTATGTATGATCTTGAAAATATACCTAACATGACTGTAAGTTTGATAGTTATAGGTGACTATTAACCTGTATTTATTATCTTAAATAACTTTCAAACACAAAACTTTACATAACCTTTTAAAATGAGCTGCGTAGGTACAATACGTTAGACAAGAATACAAATATATATACAATATAACAAAAATAACCTTAAATTAACAATTAACAGTTGGCTCCTGAGTTCCTCAGGCCTGTCCAGTGGGGACATTGGGCAGAGGTAATTCTCATGGCAGAGGTACTCACTGGGGATTCAATGTTTCTTCCCTGTTCAGTAGTGCACAGAAAACTAAATTTATAATTTTTTTATCCTGTGGATTTTGAGTTGATGCCTTCAAATCCCAGCCACACATAACTGAAGTAGAAAGTGAAAGCAGAGGAGAGTGGGATTCCAGCACAGAGAGTCACATATAACACACAGTGTGTCAAAAGTGCTTGACCAGAGCTGTGAAAACTCCAGTCACCTCCCGATGCAGGTGTCCACGGCAGCCCCACACCCTCACCAGGACTCCGACAGCACCTGTTTCCGTGAACATTCATTTCAAGTGCTGTGTGTATTTTATCTGGGAACTTCGTGCTCTTAGGTTTCATCCTGACTAACCTGAGGAGACAGTTGTCCTCAGGCGGCTCAAAGACACCTTGACAAACAGCACTCCGTCCTGCAGCACAGGATTCAGCAAAGTCTCAGTCCCCAGGCGGTGAAGTCTGGGGTGGGAGTCCAGGACTGGGGATCCCCTGGTCCCAGTTCCACTTCTCCAGCTCCTGACCTGTGTCGGGTCCTTCTGCCCGGACACTGATGACAAGTGTCCTGTTCTCACCCGCATTGGGTGCCGAGATCCCGGAGAACCAATCAGCGTCGCCGCGGTCACGGGTTATAAAGTCCACGCAGCCCGCGGAACTCGGACACCCCAGATCCGAGATGGGGCGATGGCTCCGTGCACGCTGCTCCTGCTGCTGGCGGCCGCCCTGGCCCCGACCCGGACCCGCGCGGGTGAGTTCGGGGTCGGGAGGGAAACGACTCTGCGGGGAGGGCGGGGGCGGCCCCGGGGAAGCCGCGTCCCCGCGTCGCCCAGCCAGACCCTCCCGCCCTTCTCCACCGCGTCCCGAGCCCCGCGCCCTGCTCCCCTCCCGGCCCGCGCACCCGCCCGGGGTCCCGGGAGGAGGGTCGGGGTCTCACCGCGCGCCGCCCCCAGGCTCGCACTCGCTGCGGTATTTCCACACCATCGTGTCCCGGCCCGGCCTCGGGGAGCCCCGGTTCATCTCTGTCGTCTACGTGGACGACACGCAGTTCGTGCGCTTCGACAGTGACGCGGAGACTCCGAGGATGGAGCCGCGGGCGCCGTGGGTGGAGCGGGAGGGGCCGGAGTATTGGGAGGAGCAGACACGGATCGCAAAGGGCACCGAGCAGACTTTCCGAGTGAACCTGAGGACCCTGCTCGGCTACTACAACCAGAGCGAGGGCGGTGAGTGACGCGGGTCGGAGGTCAGGACCCCTCCGCGTCCCTACGTCCGGGCCGGAGTCGCCCCGGGTCCCGGGTCCGAGGTTCGGGAGGAGTCGGGGACCGGGACCCGGTTTCCCTTTCGGTTTAGCGGAGTCCGCGGGTGGGCGGGGCAACGGGGCGTGGCTGACCACGGGTGGGCGTGGCTGAACGCGGATGTGCAGGGCTGACCGCGGGGTCCCTGCAGGCTCTCACACCATCCAGGTCATGTATGGCTGTGACATGGGGTCGGACGGGCGCCTCCTCCGGGGGTACAATCAGGACGCCTACGACGGCCGCGATTACATCGCCCTGAACGACGACCTGACGACGTGGACGGCGGCGGACACCGCGGCGCAGATCACCCGGCGCAAATGGGAGCAGGGTGGTGTTGCAGAGAGACGGAGGGCCTTCCTGGAGGGCGAGTGCGTGGAGTGGCTGCGCAGATACCTGGAGATCGGGAAGGACACGCTGCAGCGCACAGGTGCTGGGCCTCGGGCAGCTCCTCCCTCTGCCCTCGGGCTGGGCTCAGTCCTGGGGAAGAAGAAACCCCTCAGCTGGGGTCATGCCCCTGTCTCAGGGCACACAGTGACCCTGGGTCTCCTGATCCAGCATGGCAGGGACCTCACTGATCCCCAGGCTCAGCCTTCTCCCTGGACAGCTGCAAATCTGTCTCAGAGGAGGGAGAGGAGATCCCGACCTAACCACAGTGGCTCCTGCAGTCTGCAGCCGCTGTCAGCCATGGCCTCTCCAGGCCAGGGTCTCTGCCCACACCAGGGTCTGTGGAAACTGAGTCCTGTCATCTGAGTGTGTCAGCCTTACACGCCAGGACCGGAAGTCTCCTTTCCTGATGAGAGACATGGACGCCCCTACCCTAGGCTGGTTCCACAGTTTCTAGAACTTTCCAAAGATACTTTCTCCCAAATCCCTGTGGCTGAGGTTTGCACCCCTCATACTCCAATTACGTCTATTCCCAGAATGGCCACCTGAGCTCTTATGGTGTGCCCTGGACAAATACTAAATTGTAGGGGGCTTTTTCTTTTTTTTTTTCTTCCTTCATTTTTTTTTTAAGTTGCATTTTGCTTTTACTCAGTTTTTTTATCCCCCTCACTGGGATGATACTGTTTCTCTCTCTCCCCCTCATTTTATCATCTGTATCAGTCTCCACAGGAGCCAGGGGGAACTGGTAATCTGTATACTTAGACAAGTCAGTGTTTCCTTTACACTAGAAAGGCTCCTGTGAGCTTAGACTGTTTTCTGCCATATTAACATCCAGAGCCCTCCTGCTCTCCCTCAGCCCCAACAAGTCACAGTGTTGCCCCAGTGGCTTAGGAATTGAACTTCCTCAGAGACAGGGTCTTCTGCAGCTCCAGGACAGGAGTGACAGGGACGATCCACACACCCCTGTGAGCACCGCTGTGTCCCAAGGAGTGCTGCCCTGGGCTCCATAGCACACTTCCAGGGGTCCTGGTGACAATACCTTGTATCTTGTCCCCCAGAGGCAGGGCTTGGGAAGTCATTTTCTCTGGCTGAGTGTCAGAGGTTGACCACATTTCTGCTGCACACTTTGGTGATCTCTGTTCACTTGGACAGACAGTTATGCTGGTCAGCAAGAAAGCCACAGTGGTTGTGCCTCAAAGGTGGAAGCTGTAGTTGGTGTCACCCTTCATGTAGGCCTTGTACCTGATTTCTTATTTTGATATGAATTAATAACATATATAAATTATTTTCCTTTCATTCTTTTACCACCTAACTAATGCTATAGAACATCACATGAGGAAGACCATGCTGACCTGCTGGCTCATGTGGATTCCCTCTTCGCTACTGAGTCCCCCCAGGAAAATGTGCAGCTCTGTGATGAGGGGACCAGCTCCACCTGAGGTCACTAGTGTGATGACAGAATTGTCCAAACAGACACAGTTTAGTGTCAGCATTGGTTTAACTTTGTCTTTGCAGATTT